TGCAAAACGTAAAAAAAAAAAAAAAAAAAGCTAAACCAGAGGAGCTGATTCATCTTCAAAGCCAGACTTTGAGATCCCTCCAGTTCACGTGTCTAAAAATTCACAACACCTTTTTTTCATTATTATTTACATTATGTGTCCTGAAGCATATACTGAAAGTTTCAACAACCACAAAGAGAAAAAAAATCCAAATTGTAATCTTATGCTGTTCTTCTCAGAAAGCAGATTTTCCTGTTTCCACCCTAATTCTGCATTCACTGGATAATAAATTCATTCCAGTTTATACAAGTGTTGTAACTTGCATATCAAAACAAAATTCAGATTGACAGCATTTTGTCTGTACTCCCCTTTAAAACTGCAGGATTGTTAAAATGTAATTAAAAACTTCAGGCAGTCTTGGCCCGCAGTTTGGAGACCGAGTGGTTTGGCAAACACTCCTTCACAGCCTCTTTGAGAAAATCCCTCCACCTTCTGTCTTGTGTTTTTTTTTTCTTGCTGTAAACCTGACGCTCACTGGTCACTGACTTGGATTTAACTCTGTCAGTCACACATAGGTTTGTAATTGTTTATAAAAAATCCTTGCCTTCACACTCGATTCTGAGCGTCTCCTCTACATGTTCATCTGGTTTCTGTCCAATCACGTTCTCCCTCTCTCACCTTTAGCATCTTTGTCCCGTGCTCTCCCTGCCAGTCCACCCCTACTTCCTCCAGTACTTTAATTAAGTTATCAGAGCTGCTTGATCCTCAGTCCTGCTGCTACACCTGGCAACGGTTTGACGTCATAGAGTTTCCTGACCTCTTTGACATGTTTCATTCTTACACACAAATTTTAAAATCTAAATTTTTTCCCTTTTTTTAACATCACCTTTTGTGTCTTGCTTTGCAGGATAAATTTTAAAAAGCAGAAGTGAGGTTTTACCTGCTGCAGGAAGTCCAAGTGTGTTAATAAAGATTTCAAAGCTTAGTTCAGATACATGCTGTTTCACCTGACTGATGGTCAGCTGTCCTGTCCAAATTGTTGGGTGTCCTAGCTATGACTTTGCCCACACAGGAAGGATTTCTGGACCCACTGACTTGTTTATTGCACAGTAAGAGAAGTGATAAGCATGTGTGAAAAGATGATTGGTCTGAGTACATTTACTGCATAGCACTGTGCAAAAGTCTCGAGCTTGTATCTCAAGCCACTTTGTCACTAGCAGCAACAGGCTATAGTTCCCATTTCTTTGGTTGTATCTATGAAAAACACCAAAGACAACAGACAGGCATAAATAAGTATCTATATATCAACAAGATGATACCCACACAGCTATAGGCAAAACTTGGCAGATCTTGGCCTTAAAACAACTGAGAAAATTGGACCAGTGGAGGACAAAATAAATAGTTGCAAGTCTTAAAAAAAGGTATCTACAGCAGATGGATTTAAAAGTCATGTGCTTAGGAAATGAGCAAAGACCTGACACCAGACCTGAGAGATGGAGTTTACTGTTCACTGTAGCCTCATCAAAAATGATCTCAGTGGACGTGTGGCTGTCAAGGAGCGATCCTTAAGGAAGGAAAACAGAGAAAAGCTGAGGTATGCCAAATTACACTCGAACTGTCAGTGGTCAGAAGATCAGTGGTAACAGGTCTGACGGGGTGACGAATCTAAATTTGAAATTTTTGGTTCAAATCTTGTCAGTACATACAGAGGAGGTCAGGAAAGAGGCAGCGAGCGAGTGTCTAGAGCCATAAATAAAACACGGGGGAGGCTCTGTCGTGGTTTGGGGCTGCATCTCAGGCAGTCATGTTGGGGCGACAGAACGTGTAAACACAGAAAAGCAGATTTTGATCCACTATGCAATACCATCTGGAAAGCTTCTGATTTGCGTAGGCTTAACTTTTCAGCAATGATCCCAAACACACTGCCAATGCAGTAAAAGCATACCTGGATAGAAAAAACACAATGTTACACTGTCAGTCATGGATTGGCCTCCCCAGAACCCAAACCTCAACACGACTGAAGCAGTGTGGGATCATTTTGAAGAGAACAGAATAAAAAGGAGCCAAAATCCAAAGAAGAGCTTTGAAAGTCCTTCAAGAAGTCTGGAGAACTATTCCTGAAGACTACTTAAAGAAATGAAAAGAAATAGAGAACTCTAAGAGAACAAGCTTCTGAAAGTGAAACAGCACAAGCTGATAGGATTGTTTTTTGTGCAGTGTGAAGAATGAAATAAGGAGGAAACAGCTAGCCTGGCTTTGTCCGAATAAAACACAATCTGCTGAAATGTCTGAAAGACGTGGATCTCATTAGATTGTTGGCAAGAAAACAAAAAATCACATTTCCATATTTGTCAAATTATTCATTCCCAAATTATGCGCCACATCCAGTGATTGTGGAGGAATGAATTGAAAAGAAACAAATTGCTCGAAATGTTCTGACACAATGTCATGATGAAAGCGTTATAACATATGCAAGTCTTTCACACACACAGTTTTCATGTCTCACATGAATGTTGTCACAGAAACAGATTTCTTTTTAAAGCAGATGTGCTCACAGGGCTTTTGGAGAAGATATACAGGGCATTGCCAGGGGTCGTAGGTTGTTCTGGTGTTGTGTAAGCTTTTAGGTACATACGGTAGTTAAAGAGCGTGGATGATCAGCATCGCTGATGACAAAAAGCAGAGCACTCTAAAACTGTGTGTGTGTGAGAGAGAGACAGAAATAAAGCAGTTACAAAACAGAGAAGAGCCTATGGGTCATCAAACAGTCTTAACTCAATACCTAGACATCGAGTGAAAGAGGAGGTTATTGCACCTCCGTCTGTGAAGGATGTGATACTTTGAAGTATTTTTCAGGGAAATGTGGCTGACGCTCATTGTGGATAGGGGATTGCTGCTGCTGCAGTCGGCCTTTGTCTCCCAGTCACTGAGCAGAATAATGAGATGAGATTGTCTCATTCTTGCTCTTTTTCTCTTCAGTCATTTTCCACAGTCACACCACATTTTGCTGGCCTCAGTTTTTGCGAGCTTAGTGTCCTAATTCTATGTGTTTAATATAAACGATCAACTTTTTCTTCATTCTTGAAAACAGTAGTCAGCACCACGTGGGCTCTGCTGCAAGGAATCACTTACATGTTTTGATGGCTGCAATTAGAAATCTTGCAATATTAAGTAAAGTAAAGTAAATATTTCTCTCTTGTTCAAAGCAACATTTTAGCTCCTGAAAGTGCTGTTGAATGAACTGACTGAATTATATATGAGAGTTTGGAGTGAGGTGTCTTATTTTAGCCTTACCAACAGGCACATTATTATAGACAACTACTGTCTGTGTATATGCATATGTATGAAGTCCCCAAATACCACTTTCTACAATTTTTGGCTATTACATCAATTCAAATCACTCCCAGTGTATGCAGCTAAACAACACAACAACCAATCACAGTAGATCATCCCACCAGCCGATCCAAGTCCTACACCATAGCATTATTCCAAATGTTTTATACTTAATAATCAGTTCAAATCTGCTGCCAGTGATGGCAAAATCATTTCATTCATTTATTTGGATTTCCTAAACACTGAAAAGTTGCATAATGATACCAGTCAATCCGTTGCCACATTGTTTAGTTACTTTAATCCACACATTAACTACTGCAATAACATCTGCGTTTACATGTCAATAAACAATGCATGCACATGTGCCAAGCTGCTGTTCCTCATCTTTGTCACAGTGTCCTTATCTGTCTGAAGTAATCACACGAAGAAGGTGCGTGTGTGCGCTTTTGTGTGCGTGTCCCTGTTTGCATCTACACGTTTACACTTCCCTCCCTCAAGTGTGCATTTGCATTTGGATGAACAACATCCTGCGTGTGTACGAGTGTGCGATATGTTGGTTTATTCATGTATTTTCACAGGGCAAGCTTGAGGCGTGAACTAGACGCTTCACCCTGCTGCTGGCCAGACTCTACTGTCACTCAGCCAGTCTCTGTCGTGTGTGCACGCGTATGTTACAGCTTTGGTTTTATAATGTGAACCAGCTGAGTTACCATTCCACTACAAGTAAAAGTACATCATCATTACTGGTTTTACCAGTCTCACACTGCTGAGTTATAATCAATATTTCCAGGAAGGACCTGCCAGTATTATACTGGTTGAACTCACCCGTTGCACACAGTACGTTCTTCTTTAATTTAACTGACTTTTATGTTTTGTCTCTGTAAATCCAGCATGCATATTGATGGTTTTCCACTGGTTTTTGCTGTATATTTGGACAAGTTATGTGTGTTATGTGTGTATTATTGATGACAGCGCAAACCAACCCAAGCTTTGCTATCAGCCTTGTGTGCGCATCTGTGCACCTTGCTTCTAATCTCCTGCTCGCCAGTGACAGCTTCTCGGTATAATGTGTCTAATATTTAGCTGCAGAGACCAAAATGAAAGTTTAAGCTGGATGGTGCTACGGTGCATGAAAGAGCCTTGCTAACATTGTTTTCCTCAAAAACTCAATAGAAGAAAGTAGCTTCTTCAATTTCTGTTGCAGCTCTGATTTATGCATCATGGTGGTGAGGATATTGTGGTAATTTTTTTCATTTGTTTTTTAGGCAATTTTCTTCTCTTGTGTAAGTGCCTGCAGTATTTTTCCAACATTAGATCCTTGTAATATCAAACTGGTAGAACAATATTTGAGAATGGGTGATTATTTAAATCATGGTGGTGGGCTCATATGGTCATAATATTTACATCACAGCTGCTGTAATCTGGTGTAACAGGGTAAATCTAGACTCTACCACAGCACTCAAACATGATTCATAACTCAGAATGTCTGGATAAGAGTCAGACTCATACAAAAAACCCATCATTTTCTACTACCGTACACATTTGGCTTCACTGACCTTTGTACAGTAAGTCTGTGTTCTGCAAGTGACTTGTTATGTGCACACCAGCAGCCGCATCCATGAGTAAGCATGCAAACATACAGCTGTAAACATGTATGCATGTAGTCAGGTTTAGTATGTGTTACTCACCCACAGCCTTGAGTGAGGCATACTTGTTAAAGCCAATTCCCAGGTTGTTGTGAGGGTGAGACAAAGCCATGGCTGGACCCAGAGGAGATAAAGCTGCATTGTTTAAATGGTTGTGATCTATGAAAGACAGAGAGAGAGAAGCAAATATCAAACAAATATCTAAAAGTTGATCAAAGAAAATGCTAATTGAGAGAATATTTTCAGGAGGAATAAGCGCATTAAACCATACAAAGAGAGAAAAGCAGCTCTCCTCTCTATAACTCTGGCCTTATTTGGCTGACATTTTTTTTATGAATGGATGGGGATGATTTTTAAATGTTTTTTATGTTTCCATTTCCAGAAAGTGATGCAAAAGCTCTTTAAGCTCTTTAGTCAGGAATGCAAGAACGAATTAGCTGCGGGCGTGATTTGTGCACTTCTTTCAGGCCACATTACAAAATGTCCATTTCCTAATCAAAATAACAAATATATTCAAAAAGCTGTTTTTTAATTTAATTAAATTTTTTGTTATTTTTACATCTGCAGGTCAACAAGGACACGAGAAAACACCACTTACCATAGGCCTCTGTTTGAGTGAAAACAAGGACAGCTGACGAGGAAATTGAGCACTCAAAACTCAAGCTGAATTACACAAACACACCTTGCAGAAAAGTTGACAGATTTGTTTACAGCGCTGAAAGTCGGATGAACTTGCACATTCACAGCTGCATCGCTATCGGCTAACTGAAAATGCCCGCTCACAGTCCTGCAGGCGTACAGCTAAGCATTCAACTGTAACTTGACAGCTACTCAGCTGAGGCACTCATCACCCAACCACAACCTCCATCTTATTTAGTTTTGGTATTTTATTATGACGATTGAATGGTCATGTATATTTTTATTTAACCCTTATGCCCGCTTCAAATTTTTACCCTTTCGACACCTTGGTGGACCAAAATGTACACACAAAAAATCTGCCATAAAAAAATCTTTTTCCCCCTTTTTTCACTTAATCAGCTTGAGCCCTTATAAAGTGATCAAAACATTCAGGATTTTAACTCTTTAAATACAAGTTTAATTATTCATTATTTAAAAAAACAAAACAAAAAAGAAAAAATTATTTCCCATATTATAAATAGTCGGGGGATGGGGCATCGCTGAGTCTTGGACATGTCAAATATCAGCAAAATCTGATAACAGATACTCCCTCCTGACACCTTCATGGCCAGAAGTGTCTCATTGACTTCCACTAAAATCACGTGTTTTAGTCTCTAGGCCACTGTAGTATAAACCATTCGTCTTACCCCCTCTTTGCATTATTGGAGTGCAAATAGGGAAGTGGAAGAGAAATGATCACCAGCATAATTAAGACATGGTTTAGCATCACCTGATCTTGCTCTAACTATAAACATTTTTAAAAAAATAAAACGTCTTGATTCTAATCTTAAAACTAGACATGGTTTCTATCCCCCAAATTAACCTGGTTCCACAGGACGAACCACAATTAAACCTCCAATCGGAGTGCTCTGTTAGGGTAATACGATACTATTAGGTCTTTAAGATATGTTGGCACCTGATTATTCAAGACCTCATATATGAGAAGGATTTTTAAATTCAATTCTGGATTTAGCAGGAAACCACTAAAGAGAAGCTAAGATGAGAGAAATATGATCTCCGGGGTCCCTCTTCTACTCTTGCTGCAGCATTTTAGATTAACTTCTCAGGGAGCTTTTAGAAATGGCTGATAACAAGAAATTACAATACTTCAGCTTGTAAGTAAGAAAGGCACAAACTAGTAATTTGGCATCACTCTGAGAGTCTATTTGTGATTTAAGTGACACTACACAGATGAAAGGATGTAGTCCATGATATGTGCACGTTGAGGGACATATTCTGGTCATTTCTCACAGTTTTACTGGAGGTCAAGCTAATGCCATCCAGGGTAAATATTGGTTCGATATCATGTTTCTGATGATTTTAGGGCAACGTGCAATAACCTGAATAAGTCTGAATTTAAAGGTAGAAAATTGACTTCTTGTTTTATGTTGAAGGTTAGTTTCTCATGTGGTTTTTGATGATTTTACTTTCTGTGTTAGTGTCTGATTGAATCCACCTGTACCTTGTGTGATCTCTCCAGTGTTCACTCTGCGACTATTCATTCTTTATCAGGTCTTTGTCATTAATTCCTCCTGTTCACGAGTTATCCTGGGTTTTTAAAAATGACATTTTTTTGTTATTAAAAAATAATCTTAGAGGAAAATGGGTGACAGAATCCCAACTCTAGTCACCAAAGGTACCTGTTTCTGCAATTAATCATTGGAATCAATGGAATACATTTTTCAAAACAACATAAAAGCAACTGCACTCATCTTTGACAATAACAACACAGCATCTCAAAGACTCTGCAAGCCTTCCTGAGAAACAAGGTCAGGCCAGGATTACCTCCCTTCTCTGAAAGTGTCATCTTTCCAGAAGTACAAAACTTAGCTAAAACTGTTTCCTGAAGAGGATGACGCACACACACACCTGACTCCTGGATCCACCAGCCCCACAATAGCTGAAATGCATCGATGGGAATCAAGCGAGGGGGAAACAGGAGAGCGAGGCGGAGAGCGCGGGAGACGCAGGGAGAGAAACCAGAGAGCGAGGGATGTGACACCAGCGCTGACTGATTGAATTAGAAATAGATCTTCACTTCCCCTTGTAATTGATATGCAGTAATGACACGCTGTGTAGCACAGAGTGCAGGGAAGCCCAGTCGTGTGTATGCGTTGTATAGCTGTGTGTGTATGTAAAATATCTTGTGTGAACCATGTATGCCGCCTCTCTCATCACTCATTCGCCTACCTAGAGTTAAAAGGAACACATCCATCAATCAACCAATAAACAAAAACCCACCTACACTTAAAATTGCTTTAGTTATTTAATTTATGCAGGAATTGCGAACGATTGCACAACATTCAAAGCAATTGCTCCTGCTCTTTAAGTGCCCTACATTTGGATCCCTTGTTCTCAAGCACTCCTTTTGTGAACCAACAACAGTGGAAATAATGAGAGGGTCAGACAGAAAGACAGGGAGTTGAAGGCAGACACAGCTAATTGATGGAAAGATCCCTGGCCACTCTCCAGTTTGACCACAGGGCTGTTCCCGGCCACCAGAAAGAGAGTTAGAGAGTGAGACAAAGAGGTTTATTTTTGAAAGATTTTGTTGTTTTACTCCAGCATAACATGTAACAGTGCGCATACTACTTTTGACCTTTTTCTGCTCAGTGAGTTTTTAGCATCCTCCTTCAGCAACGTTATGACAGACATGGTAATATGCTGAGGCACAGGACAGAGGACGAAATGCAGGATGGGTAAGACAAGTTTAGCTTAGCGTTAGTGTTATTATTCTCAAATAGTTTTTGATGCATGTGTTTATATTTAGAGCGAGATTTATGAACATGTGCGTCCTTAGAGATAGTAAATAGCTGCTGACCTGACTGGAGTAAAAAGCCATTTGCCCTTCAGTGATAAGGAAGGGCACAAAAACAACATGTCACACATTACAAATGACATTTCAAAAAGAACTTCAGGAGCATTGCCATTGCTTAACCATTAGATTATTAACCATATACAGAGTTTATACAATTTTTCAACAACAACTAAACATCAAGCAAGCATGGAGCAACAAAAGCCATAGAAATCAGTGTATGTGCATCCGTGCAATGCAGTGGATTTGTTTCCTTTCTTTTTTTTGGTCTCTTGCCCATTTATCAACAAAAGAAACAGTGAAGAAAAGTAATACGTAATAGTGAGCAAAAAAGAAAGCAGCGGAGCCTTTTAAAGGCTGTAAAAGCCGAGTCCATATTGTCCACAGTGCCACACCTTTTCTATTACGCCTTCAGTTTTATGTCATAACTTTAACAATATGTTAAAAGCCAAAGCCAAACCGTGTCACACTGCTATAGTAAAAATCTGCTTGTAATAAAACGGTTTAGAGAAATGGTCTATAAATAAACATTATTAGCCCTGTTAAAATGATTAAAGCGAATCTAACATTGTAGCTTAACTCACTTTGGATTAGCTGTGTCCTCATTTTAAGCATTGCTTCATTGTTGGCCTTTAGAATAATTGTTAATTAATTTTGCATCAGTCACAGATGATTAATACCTTACTAAAAGCAGGAGTTAAACTGGTTAATTGAACAAGAAGAAAAAATATGAGGGGGCAGTTGCAGAAGGGTGAACATCATTTTCAGTCTGACAATCACTAATTATTTAAAACCCAACCTTGGAAATCAAGGTTTTTGACATTTACATAGCACACAGGAAGCAGCAGATTAAAAAAGACAAAAAACAAACAAACAAAGAAAAGTATCTAATGCTTGTTTTATGCTACTCTTGTTGTGCCTGTTCATGCTATTGTGCAGCCCTTAAACAAGCTAATGGCAGGTAGCTCAGCTGTGGGTAAGTTTGTGGGTAATGCTGATTGGCTGGCAAAAAGGGGAGGGAGTAACAGGCAGCATGAAAAGTACAGTCAGTGGCTGCAGTGCACACTTTTCATGGCCGATACACAAACAACAGCACAAACAAGAGTAGCCCACAGACAGGCTGTACCACATACTTTGGACACTTGGTCATAGCTGTTGTTGTAGCATGCTAAAATATAGCAAATGTTCTAGTGGCTAACTAGACTTTAGGTGCTAAAATACTCATGTGACATAGCAAAAACTAGCTAGCTAGCTGCTATCATTTTGATATAGTTTCCACCCTCAGTTGCAGAACTTGCTGCCCAAAGAGATTTCTCGCGTTGTGAGGGAAAAATATGTATTTCCTGAGTTGTTAACTAGGTGAAACCATTCACAGAGGTTGTTGCTCCCAAATCCTTGTTGTGAGTAGTTGTCCACTAACACCCACTAACAAACCACAGAGAGGCAGTGAAACTCGAAAAACTGCGACACCTTCAGAGCTCGAATACCTGTTATTTTTTCCAATAATTGGTGGTTACCAGGCAATCGCCAACTGGTCTCTATGGTCTCTTTTGTCCTATAATTACATGGTTCGTATTTTTTTCAGTTGTTTTTAAAAAATTTTCTACCCTGTAATATGCACAGCATGTTGATTGAATTGATTTCATCAGCTGTTTGATTTGATCAA